AGGGCTTTCGTCTCGGCGTACCGCGTGAGATAATCGGTTGCGACGATTATCCATCGGTTTCCTTGCGTCGACGGTGGGAAAGGTCCGAGTAAATCCATACCGATTTGCTGGAATGGGGCAGATGGCGGCGCAATAGGCTGAAGAAGTCCTGCCGGTCTCGTCGGTGGCTTCTTCCTTCGTTGACACTCGTGGCAAGATCGGGTGTAGTGGTGTACTGTCTTCGCAAGCTTGGGCCAGTAGTACTTTTCGCGTATCCTCGCAAGAGTCCTGCTGTAACCAAGGTGTCCCGCCGTCGGGTCATCGTGGCAGGCTTGAAAAATTTCTTCTCGAAGACTGGAAGGGATCACCAACAGCCACGCCGTGTTGCTGTCGCTGAAGTTCTCCTTGTACAGTACGCCTTGTCGGATGGAGAAGGTTGGCAGTGTTCGAACAAAACCGCGGGGAACGGCGCTTCCTTGCCCCTCTAGGTGTTCGATGAGTGCTCGCAGCTCAGGGTCGTCTCGTTGGAGTGCTGCCATGTCGCTTGCATCCAGAGCGCCGAGGAAACACTCATCGTCGTCCTCTTTGGTGCAGGCAGGACCGGCCTCGACTGGGGCCCTTGACAGGCAGTCGGCGTCATTGTGCTTCCGGCCGGACTTGTACACCACGGCCATGTCGAACTCCTGCAGTCGTAGGCTCCACCGAGCGAGGCGTCCGGAGGGGTCCTTCAGATTCGCCAGCCAGAAGAGCGAGTTGTGGTCTGTGACTACGCGAAAAGAACTTCCATACAAATATGGGCGAAACTTCGTTATTGCCCATACGACAGCGAGGCACTCCTTTTCGGTCGTTGAATAGTTCCTCTCCGCTTTAGACAGCGTCCGACTTGCGTATGCGATAACTCGCTCAGCTCCGTCCTGCACTTGGACTAGTACCGCACCCAGTCCGGTGTTACTGGCGTCGGTGTGGATCTCGGTTTCAGCAAACTGGTCGAAATGGCCAAGAATCGGGGGCGTCTGGAGTCTTCGTTTGAGCTCGTCGAATGACCTCTGGTGTTCTTCTGTCCACTCGAACTTTACGGCGTCCTTCGTGAGGTGTGTCAGCGGTGCGGATAGCTTGGCGAAGTCTCGGACAAAGCGCCTGTAGTAGGCACAGAGTCCGAGAAATCTTCTCACGGCCTTCTTGTCAGACGGCGGCGTAAATGCAGCTACGGCGCGGGTCTTCTCGGGGTCAGGTAGAACACCCTTGTTGTTCACGACGTGGCCAAGGAACTTTAGTTCCCCATAGGCGAAACGACACTTTGTTGGCTTGAGTGACAGGCCGGCGGTCTTGATGGCTTGAAGCACGGCTCGAAGTCGTCTGAGGTGTTCGTCGAAATCTCGTGAGAGTACCACGACATCGTCCAGGTAGACGAGGCAGCTCTGCCATTTCAGACCTGCCAGCACGGTGTCCATGACGCGCTGGAAGGTGGCTGGTGCTGTACAAAGTCCGAACGGCATCACTTTGAATTCGTATAGTCCGTCGGGAGTGACGAAGGCAGTTTTCTCCCGGTCACGTTCGTCGACTTCAATCTGCCAATAACCACTCTTCAGGTCCATCGACGAAAAATATCGGGAGTGGCGCAGTCGGTCTAACGTATCATCGATGCGGGGGAGCGGATAGACGTCCTTCTTTGTCACGGCGTTCAGTCGACGATAGTCCACGCAGAACCGCAGGGTTCCGTCCTTCTTCTTTACAAGGACGACTGGGGACGCCCATGGGCTCCTTGAGGGTTGAATGATGTCGTCGTCGAGCATCTCCTGGACTTGATCTTGAATCACTTTCCTTTCCTTTAAGGAGACCCGATACGGCGACTGGGGGACAGGAAGTGCGTCGTCGTCGGTAACAATGCGATGTTTCGCCATTGGTGTTTGGCGAATCTTTGATGTCGTGGCAAAACAGTCACTGTATTCGGCAAGGAGATCAATCAGTTGCCGGCGCTTCGTAGCTGGGAGCTCGGGGTCAATGTCGAGCGGCGGCGGCGTCGTGCTTTTCTGCTGTGGCGACGAGGTTTCCTCGGAGATTGCGGTGACCACCGCTGGCGCTTGAAGCTCCTCGACGTGGCCCACGGTGGTACCCTTCGTTAGGTGTTGCGGCTCCTCTCGAAAGTTCGTCACAAGAACAGTTGTACGTCTTTCTTGGAGATCCGTTACGCCTCTTGCGACGCCAATTCCTTTTTCGAGGAGCAGCTGGACGCTGCCTTCCAGAAGAGCTTCACCGTGCATGGCGGCGTCGGCCATAACGGTGACGAAAACACTCGACCGCGGCGGTAGGTTCACATGGTCGGCGATAACTCGGATCGCGGTTGATGTTGTGTTGGTCTCCACCGGCGGTAAAACAAGTTTCCGCAGCGTCAACTGGTTTGCCCCGAGGTCGATGACGGCGCCATACTCGCAGAGTAAGTCCATTCCGAGGATAACGTCCTTCGAACAGTCTTGCAGGACGACGAACTTCACAGGGCACGTTTCACCGTGGATCTCGACGCGAGCAGTGCATCTCCCGACTGGCGTGATGAGATGTCCTCCGGGGGTTCGTATTTGGGGTCCATCCCACGGCGTCATGACTTTTCGCAGGCAGCGAGAGAGCCTCCCACTCAAGACCGAGTAGTCTGCTCCGGTGTCCACGAGTGCCGATGAGTCGAGGCCGTCAATAACAACGTTTAAGTTGTTGGACACCGAAGCAGGAGCGTCGTTGTGATGCGTATCGTCGGGAGAGTGGGAGCGCTCCGTCGTTCGTGGAGGCTCTTTACGTCGGTCGTCTTCGGCAACTCCACCTCCAGGGGTTGCCGCGCCTAGTTTCCCCGGCGAGGAGCGAGGGGCGACAGGCTTTCACGTCGGGGTCGGTGCATTGGCGAAGCTGGACGTCGCGGTGACGGCGACCGGATCTCTCGGCGGGACGCAGGCTCGGGGGACTGGGGTCGTCGCAGGTACTCGTCGATCTCCCGAGGGCGTTCACCATACCGGGGGCGCGGGTCGCTTGGGTGGAATCCGCGCAGCCCGAGTCGACGGTATGGGCATCGGCGGTAGGTGTGGTCTGCCTCCCCGCAGTGGAAGCACAGAGGGCGTCGGTCGGGCGTTCGCCACACATCGGTCTTCCGGGGTGCACGGGGCTCCTGGCTGGCGTACTGGGGCTGGTCGTCGTGGCGTCGGTCGTGCTGCGGTGCAGGAGACTGGCGTCGGGGCGGCGCGACATAGGCGCGAGGAGGAGGCGGTGGCCGTCGGGCCACTGCGGCGTAAGTTAGCGCGGGTTCTTCGGAGACTGCTGCGCTGATGGGAGCCTCTGGTTGAATGGCTCTCTGCACCTCTTCCCGCACGACCTCAGCGACGGAGAGCGAAGCTGGTCGGTCCGCGGCGGGTAGTAGCTTTCGCAGCTCCTCCCGGACGACGTCGCGAATGATCTCGCGAATGCTTGGGATGCTGGACCCAAGGTCGCAAGCGGACGGCGGAACCGCGCTGACGCCGGGTAGCCTCTGGTAGTGGCTGGCTCGGGCTTGCAGGGCACGCTCGATGTTCGTTGCCTCGGCGACAAAGTCTTCGACAGTTGTCGGAGGGCTGCGGACAAGGCCACCAAAGATGTTTTCTCTCACGCCCCGCATAAGGATTCGTAGCTTCTTCTCCTCTGTAGCCCGAGGGTCGGCGCGGGTGCTCAGGTGCAGGACGTCCTCTACGAAGCCGGTGACACTCTCGTTGGGGCCCTGGGTTCTGGTTCGCAGTAGGTCCTCGGCTCGCTCTCGGCGGTGGTGGTTGATGAAGGTAGCCTTGAGATCGTTCTTGAAAATGTCCCACGACGTCAGGGAGGACTCATGATTCTCGTACCAGTGCTTGGCAGTCCCCTCAAGCGAAAAATAGACATTGTGTAGGCGCTGCTCGTCTGTCCAGCAATTGTGGCGGGCAACGCGTTCATACTGGTCAATCCAGTCTTCGACGTCTTCGTACTGCTCGCCGTGGAATGGAGCCGGTGTCCGAGGAGCGACGGGTAGGTAGACGACGGCAGGAGCGGCGGGGGTCTGCGACTGGTTGGCCATCGTCGGCTGCCTGGTCCTGGGTGGTAAAGGTCCGTATTCCGGGTGTAGCCCTTGGGTTCGGCGACTTGATCGAGTCTCGATCTGGTCTTCGTTGGGTCCTCGGGAGCTTGGGTTCGGACTTGCAGTGCGGGAACTTGGGGGGCTGCGCTGCACGAACATGCGGTACCCCGCACCTCCACCAAAATGTCACGGGTGGTGACTAATAAACAAGAAATAAACAGGAATAAATAAACGTTTAATGTGGCGAACTTGTGCCAAAAATAAAGGAGACAGAAGAAAGCAGAGCGTCGCGGGCGTCGAAGTCGGCGTGTCAGCAGAATCGAGCGCTAGGGCGAGACTGACTCGACAAGGTCGCGGGCGGCCTCTTATCTAGAGTGCGCCGCTATCTCGAAGATTCGGCGAAAGCGGTTCGAGCGTCGCGTGATCGGGGCGAGAATGAACGCGCACTTTCTAGAAAACAAAAGCAGGGATAAATGATAGAAGTTACGTGCGGTACATGAATAAACGGGAACTTTCTGGAGGACCGTGACCGAGCGTTTCTTTCTCAGCCTTGCGCGCGGCAATATCATCAGTCCAACCTTAGAAAACAAAGACGAAGCTGCTTCTCAATGGCCATCGCCGTAGTGATCCATAAAGACGAGGCCGAGAAGGTCTCGAAACATTGGGTCGATATTGATGACTTGGTTGGACCTTTCTTTTTGGTTAACGCACGCAACGCAACCAAATAAAAGTTTATTGACTATTTCGCCTTATTAAAAAACAAAAAAAAACAAAACATGCATGACGTCATAGGTAAGTAGAATAAATGTAGAGCTGTGGAGCTCTGAAAGTACACCTTTTCGATCAAACGTGATATATGTTTTCTTCTTTTATGCTTTTCTTTTTATTCCTATTGGCCTAAAGTCTTTGACGATCGTTGTTGCAACAATTTTACTGCATTTTTATTTTTTATTTTATGCAGGTGTCCGCTGCTTCCCCTCACGTTCTACCCTGGACAGACTGGCAAGGGCATAGAATAAGCAAAAGGAAACGAGACAAAATAAAAACGGCATACAAACAATTAATCATAAATGTTATAAGTCTAGTTCATCCAAACCGTCCTAACAAAACACAAGTAGCCGCAAGCATCATGAACTTTGAAGAACGCCTTGCAAAGGTAAGATGCGCGCGGTCATTCAACTTCGTAAATTTGCGGCGCTTAGATAATTTTGTCTAGATACTGTCATATGGAAATGCAAGAGGAAAATAATGCGGCAACTAATAAATTGGCATCAATCATTTTTTAAATACTTTAGTTTTTTACCCGACACTTCGACCATTTTTCTGTCCTTCCTTACTTAAAGCGGTATGAAGATGGCAGCTTCACAAGGCCAACCAACCTCAAGAGCTGCGTAAGCACGAAATGTGAAGGTCGATCAATCCGTAACCGCTGAACAATCATTAAAAAAAAAAAAGGCAACATATATTAGTGGTCGAACCTGATCACCGCCGTGGAAGCCGACTGCACTGCTGACAGAGTTACGGGCCCAGTAAACACCAGCTAAAGCTGAAAGCAGCCGCGCTTCTGCGGTGACGTCACTCGAATCGGTCGGTGAGCACCGCGGAAAACCGCTGAAGTGCAGGGGTCGCGAATGGATTTACCGACGTAGTATAAGATTTTTATTAACCAAAACGTTTGTCAACAGGTAAAAAGGGAAATATAAATATGTAAAGGAATTGAAATTATATTATATTACGCGGGTAGCTTACTAGGACGTACAATCATTGCTACGATATGAAAAGCAGGGTTAACGACGTTTCGAGAAAAATGCGTTTTCGCTTTAGGCAACCAACCCTTGGATGTTTTAAATCTCTAGGAGCGAGAATACAAACAAATAAAATATAATTGCACTGAAACGTCAATGCAGGAAGGGATGTCACCCGTTAAAATTCATAAGGGCAACGATCAAATAGGTGCTGATCGAACATATGTAGTTAATACATTCGTTTGTGAAAATAATTAAAATAAAGATCTTAAAAAATCATGAACTGCTGCTGTTTTAAAGTCTGCGCTGTCCTTGCAGCGTAAAATGAAACGAAATTATTAATTTAAGAAAAAAGAACATGATGTGAAAATACATGATATATCTCACCTTCGTATGCGTCGATAGCAGGGTGTTCAAATCAGGACGGTCATAGAGCCGTCATGCCTTTTTTTTTTCAGTGACATGTTTAATGGAGGATGAAAAGCATGTCTACACAATGGAATAAACATTAATTTTGCTCGAAAATTCATAGTTTTGTAAAACAAATCGCGTCCGAGGGGAGATAGAACAACGAATTTCCCAGTTGGGCGTAGATGCAAAAATTACCAGCTTGGCCTCTTGCGCAGCCATTTCGTAGTTAAATATTGTACGCCGATATTTTAAGCACATCTTAGCATGAATCATTTAGGCTGAAACGTTTTAAACATGGTATTTTACACTCTTTCCTTTTAACAAAAAGTTCGCGCTCAACATTTGTAAGGGCTTTCTGCATTGCGCTTGGATTTTTCTTAAATATTAAGGAGATCAAAATTGTGCAATATTTTAGCGGCAATTAAAACAAAGTGTTATCCTTGATTCGCTCCAAATTGCTCTCGATGAAACCTTCAAAACGGGTAATTCAAAGCCTAGAAAAACATGATCCATTATGTTTTCTTAATAACAAATATAAAAATAGACATTTAGCCAGATCTATGTTACAGTCAATTACCGTTGGAGGGTTTCTGTCTCCTCCACTAGTACTCGAGCACCGCATCCACAATGGCCGTACTTTGTGGGATTATCTCCCAGACGCCATCGAGCATTATTCGAGTTGTGATCAATATGCTTTGCCTTCTAGGCTGTAATTGGTTTATTCAGAGATGGAATTAAAAGATGTTACATTGGAATAAAAGTTTGGAATCTCCTATTTTGCCGGAGCACACAGCTTTTCAATATACATCTTTCCAAGAAACACTCGACCCCAGGGATAACAAACCGTTTTCGAGCCCAGTGACTGGGTTTGAGGCTAGGCTTTCACCGGCGTCCCTGCTATGCCTAAACGAGTGGACTGTGATTTCGACAGGCGCAGCCTGCGTAGGCGCAGTTTCAAACTATGCTGGCGGCTAAATTATCGTCTTTTTCCTCTGCATTTTGTGTTTTATGGTGAATGTAGTTTCCCGAAGACACGGAGAAAGCATTTTACCACATTTGAAAAATAAAAAAAAACAAAAGAAGGAAAAAAACAACAACTGTAAACTACTTTTGTTGGGTACGCGCGCGACAGAACAAATGCGACTGGAATGTTAGTTGTCGTTTTTTTCTTCTTTACGATAAGTTTTGACGGCGCCGCCCGGTTAACCGCGTGTCAAACGACAAAGCGCTTAGCAGTCGAAAATAATTTACAACGGAAGATAACCGAAGGGCATGCATTTTTCACGCTCACAAATTACGTGTTTACCGATGGACAGGCCACGGACATACGATTTAGCAAGTTTTAACATTCGAACAATATATTGTAGGTACCACACGATGCAGTGTTATCCGAAAATAATTTATTTGAGAAAGATCTCAAATAACACAGTCACAGTGGACGACAGTCACATATAGACGATCGGACGGAATCCAAGATGACTTTGTATTGGGGCACGTCTTGGGGAGAGCTTTCTTTTTTCACGACAGAACCAAGGCAAAGGAACGAACGCGACTGACCCGTTTCCCACCCCGACCCGGACAACTAGTTTTTGGAGATGACTGAGGATTCTAGGCGAATTATATCTGGGAGGGGGGAGAACATGTTCGCCAAATCGCGTCGAGGGTCGTTCGACGTCCTTCACCTCCTTCGTCTCCCGTGAATGTCGAGGAGAACAGCTTGAATGGCAGGCACTTACCAGCCTAATTCCTCACAATGAAAGATAACACAGAAACGGTACCCAGTGTTGGAACTTTCGCGAGGACAACATCGGATTCCCTCTGCGGCGAGGATGCACGCGAGGAGCGAGCTGAACCTTACACCACGGCTTGCCTCGGCGGAGTCGATTTACGATCGCGCGCGGGGAGCGAGATGTAAACTTCGTTCCCGCAGCGGCCGGACGCAGCCGCGAAGATCAACTGCTGGGAAAGTGGAGACGGACAGAACGAAAGCTGGAACGCTACCGATCGGAGAACGAGAATGTGGCTCGTCTGTTTGGAACGTGTGTAGTGTGTGTAGTTTAAAATAAAAGTTTTGGGGTTTGTTGAGACTGATCGATATCTCGGAACGCCAAGAAGCAACAATTGCCTCAACAAAAAAATTGGTGCCGAAATTCGGGAAAGAAACTACTGCACTACAAATGGAGCCGACGAGCAACGTGTGATCGAATCGCCAGCAGACAGACAAGGGAGCGTAACGACTGAACGGGCGAAACCTGGTAATCAACGGCAACATCTACGATAGACCGACACAAACAAGCAGCACTGCAAGCCAGGACTGAACGGCAATGGACGTCCTCAAGAAAAAACGAAAAACGCATCGGACGCAAGTAACGAGGCTCCTCAGCGAGGCACAGGATTTATTACAATCAGCTACGCCGACCGTCGATAAACTCGATATATTGATCGAACGTCTAAGCCTCGCTCGGAACCAACTCAACCACGTAGATGCCGCGATCGAGTCGTTGATTTCCGAAAAAGAAGCCGATGCAGAATTCACACAAGTGATAGATTATTCTGACAAGATCTCCACGTGCCTAGCGAAGCTCAAAAGGAAAATGAAGAGACCGGAGGACAGCCAATGAACGAGCGGGAAACCGAACGAAGAGCGGGAAGCAAGAAAGGTGACATCAAAAATCAAGCTTCCCAAATTAGAGCTCATCAAGTTTAACGGACACCGAAGAAATTGGCAGCCCTTCTGGGAGGAATTTCAGATCGCCATCCATGAAAATCCGGAACTATCGTCCTCAGAAAAATTCAACTACTTGAGGTCAGCCCTGACTGGTGATGGAGCAGCCGCCATCGCAGGACTGCACCCAACCGCTGAATGCTACGCCCACGCCGTCGAGCTCCTGCAGCAGCGGTTCGGGAACCAGGCGGAGCTGATACAGGACCACATGACAGGGCTCATGGACATCATTCAAGTGCCGTCATCGCGCACCGTCAGAGCTCTGCGGCGGGTCTACGACAGCGTCCAGGCTCACATCCGGGGCCTTCGGGCGTTGGGTGTGACGGATCAGTCATACTGTGCCATGCTCTACCCGGTTCTGCTTCGTGCGCTTCCGGACGACATGAGGCTCGAGTTCAACCACAAGATGTCTTCGGGGAACGCCGAAAACGCCACCGCTGGGGGAACATCAGCAACCGACATCGGCTCCGAGAGCCGATGTCGGTTGCTGAGCCGGGAGAAAACATCCAAGGAACAACCCGAAGACGCCGGCAGTAAGCCTGCACATTGTTTTCCCATGCATGAACATCCGAAGAGGCGCCTAAACAACGCCAAGACTCGGAACGCTACCGCTACGGCCTTGCATGGCAGGATGGACAGCATGGAATGCTTTCTTTGCAAATCAAAGGCGCACAGCACACCAGACTGTAACGCGAAGATCGAACTCAAGGAAAAGAAGCGCAGGCTGCAAGCCGATCGCCGGTGCTTCCGGTGCACAAAGCCGAACCACACGGCAAGAATGTGTCGCGGCACGCTCCGTTGTGACAGGTGTGGAGGAAGGCATGTATCCACTATGTGTGATCCAGATTACTTGCCGGGACGAGCCGCCAGCGGATCGGATGAAACGCGGAAGAAAGACAAGACGCCTCTCAACCTGCATGTGAGCGAGAAGGGCAACAAACCGGCTGTCCTTCTGCAAACCGTTACCGCGTGGGTGGAAAGCAAGAACAGAAGAATGTTGGCCCGCATTCTCTTCGACAGCGGTAGTCAGCGCTCCTTCATTACAGAGGAGCTGTCGAGGGGTCTTGGTTGCAAGCTTCTCGGAACGGAGGTTCTTATCGTCGGAGTGTTCGGTGGCAAGACTAGCGAACGAACGTACCGTAGAGTACAAGTAGTTTTGAGTAATCGTCTAACCGGCCAGACATACGAGATAGACGCCCTCGAGACCAGTTCTATCTGCGAACAAGAACTTCCAGGCCCGGATGAAGACATCCTGGTGAATATGGAGGAGCTCGG